ACTGGAAAAATACAGATGCTGCTGAAGGAGAAAGAGAACTCGTTTTCCTCCTAATAAAGCAAAGTCTCAAAGGCAGAAAGAAAAGGGCAGTGGGGAGGAGAGGGGAAGCAAAGCCACTGAAACAAGTAGACACTGTTAAAACAAAATCACTGTCTGCCTCTGAACAGAAGGAGCAAGGAAACTGCAGTAGGTAGTTGTGGGATAACGAGCCCAGAGGGAGCCTTCTTCCCACTGTGTTAATTAACAGTTGGAATTCTGCTCTGAAGGATACACTCCTTCCAAAAAAAAAATCAACCTGTGCTCTTGGTACTGGTGGCACATAAAGAGAGAGCCCTCCCTCTCAAACCTGGTGCAACCATTTCTGCAAAGCTCCTCAGATGGTGAAATTAGTCTGGGAAATACGCACAAAAAAAAGTAGAATTCACAAAGAGCTCATGCAAATGGCACAGGAGTGGAAGGTGCAAAATCTTATCAGGAGATGGAGAATCTCCAAAGCTATGAGTGAAACACTCATAGTTAGTCTTAACACAAGGGACACAAAACCCCACTCTTGGACACTTCCCTAGGAGCTCTGTTTGAAAGGAAGGTGAGAAGAAACGGCGTGCAAATTTAAGGATATGATGTGGTTTTATGCAACAATTTTTTCCCCTATTTACCCTGCAGCTACAGGCAACAATTATTTTGATTTGCTGACAGATTCTGGTTTCAGGCTTCTTTATGCCCTTCAGTAACATTAAGTATCTAGATAACCATCAAAAATTATTGCCCACTGCAATACAGATATTCACTATTTTTATGTTTTGAAATAAAACTGCAAGAGAAGTGAAGCTCTCCATATCTCAGTTTTAAGCAGATGATAGCAGAAACGAGCTCACTGAAAATAAGACTTCTCCTTGCCACAAGCCTGAGGTCAGAAAGAAGAAATCTCCCTGCCCTCTCCCTGAGGACATGCATGCATGTCCTGCCAGACTGTATCTGCCCAGAACAAGCAGACCTCAGCTCTCTCTGGGCAATGATGAAGGCAAGTTTTCATATCTACGAGGGGCTGCAATATTTTATTAAGCAAGGGCAATAAAAATTCGGGTTGAGGGGGTCCCAAGAGAGACAGAGCAGCCTAGAGAAGTTTCAATATTGTCAACTATGCCTACTTCCCATTTCACACCACCTCACAGCAACAGCTACAACAAAAACGGCCCTGATTCGCATTACGTTGGGACTCGTTGCACAGATGGCATCAGATCCAACACAGCAACACTCAGAGCACTGAAAATTCTGTCTTTGGAACTACTCCGTCTTTGGAACACTTACTATTGAAGACCACATTGTTGTCCTTGAAATCTTTCCACTGTTGATACCATTTGGAGTCCTTATGCAGCACCACACCCATGGCCTCTCTAGAGAAAGCACAAGACATGGGTCAAGAACACGCACGTAACACCCGGGTCCCCGCAGCCTCACTTCAGCTCTCACATTTGACCCATCCCTGCAGTTACCTTTTAAAACTTTAGCAAATTACACAGGGAAATACTCAGCTTAAATTACATCCAGTACTTACTCATTAGCTTCGAATATTCGCTCCTCTTTAATCCCCTCGCCCGAAAATTCTTTCCTTTTTCGTAGTCGCTCTGGACGTTTGTAAGGACCTGTCCGCCCTAAAACACTTTCGTCTATTTCCTTCTTAACAGTTTCTACTCCCTGAAAGGAAAACATTCTTATTAGGGTGATTTACCTTTCAAAAAGCTGCAAATCACTTCCGTTGGGAGAAAAAAAAAAAAAAAAAAGATGCACCACAGGTTATTCCCCTCTCTCTCTCTACTCAGCATATGTCTCTCTGCTAATGCAGACGGAGAAATACACTAATATTAAGGCTCACTATTAAGGAAAAGTAGCCTCACTTCTCATAGCAGCAGCCTACATATCTCCCAGTTGAGAAAACAGCTATGAAGTAAACTGTTTCTCTCCCATATAGAAAACGTGCAGGAAAATCACAGTAGCACAGCTTATACTAAAGGAGAGGTGTGAGTTATTCTCTCTTCAATTCTCTCTTCACTATCAAGAAGAATGACTTGATAAATCTGGACTAACACAAACCACACAATCAGACTGTATCAAGTAAGCCACATCCCTCTGTAATCACTGGAGAGAATTTTGTCATACACCTGGAGGGGACTAAAGGGCATTTTTTAGCGTTTCTGCTTTATCTTGGCTGCACTGTTTTTAATAACTTACTGAGTTTTTGAGCAATAGCTTCTCTAGCAACTGTACCTGGTTCACAAAAAGTGCAGCTTCCCTTTGTAGCCCCATACACCCAGGTAGAAGGTTGTTTCATAT